TAAGACATTTACAAATGTTTTGTTTGTAACTTAAAATATTTTTCTATTGAAATAAGCATACAGTTTGAAACAGATATGAAACAGATATTATTAAAAGTAATTCACAAGGCTTCTAAGAAATGTTGAGTCTTTGCCAAGCTGCTCTGTATTATGTTCCTAGGCAGCTGGGGGTGGCATTCGCTCCCCTTTGTCCCTGGGTATCTTCAGGGGAAAATCTGAGGATTGCCATTCTGAGGTTTCTATTAGCCCAGGGCACATAACAGTGTAGGCCTCACAGTCCATATTAGCTAATATGGTAGTACAGATGAGCTCATCTCTTTATGTTGCCATTCACCCTCTCCTCTGAATAAACATGAGAGAATGAAAGGTAGGTGTCATGGGTTAAATTGTGTCCCCCACCAAGATTTGTTGAAATCCTACCCCAAGTACCTTTTTATTATTATGTTAGGTTAATTATCATACATTCCATCACTCGTTTTTGATGTAGTGTTCCATGATTCATTGTTTGTGTATAACACCCAATACTCCATGTAGTACATGCCCTCTTTAATACCGATCACCAGGCTAACCCATGCTCCCGCCCCCCTCCTCTCTAGAACCCTCAATTTGTTACTCAGAGTCCATAGTCTCTCATGGTTCGTCTCCCCCTCCGATTTCTCCCCCTTCATTCTTCCCCTCCTGCTATCTTCTTTTTTTTTAATATAATGTATTATTTGTTTCAGAAGTACAGATCTGTGATTCAACAGTCTTGCACAATTCACAGCGCTCACCATAGCACATACCCTCCTGAATGTCTATCACCCAGCCACCCCATGCCTCCCACCCCCCACCTCTCCAGCAACCCTCAGTTTGTTTCCTGAGATTGAGAATTCCTCATATCAGTGAGGTCATATGATACATGTCTTTCTCTGATTGACTTATTTCGCTCAGCATAACACCCCCTAGTTCCATCCATATTGTTGCAAATGGCAAGATCTCATTCCTTTTGATGGCTACATAATATTCCATTGTGTATATATACCACCTCTTCTTTATCCATTCATCTGTCGATGGACATCTTGGCTCTCTCCACAGTTTGGCTATTGTGGATATTGCTGCTATAAACATCGGGGTGCATGTACCCCTTCGATCCTTACATTTGTATCTTTGGGGTAAATACCCAGTAGTGCAATTGCTAGATCATATGGTAGCTCTATTTTCAACTTTTTGAGGAACCTCCATACTGTTTTCAGGAGTGGTTGTACCAGCTTGCATTCCCACCAACAGTATAGGAGGGTTCCCCTTTCTCCACATCCCCGCCAACATCTGTCATTTCCTGGCTTGTTAATTTTAGCCATTCTGATTGGTGTGAGGTGGTATCTCATTGAGGTTTTGATTTGGATTTCCCTGATGCCGAGCGATGTTGAACACTTTTTCATGTGTCTGTTGGCCTATTAGATGTCTTCTTTGCAGAAATGTCTGTTCATGTCTTCTGCCCATTTCTTGATTGGATTATTTGTTCTTTGGGTGTTGAGTTTGATAAGTTCTTAATAGATTTTGGTTACTAGCCCTTTATCTGATATGTCATTTGCAAATATCTTCTCCCATTCTGTCGGTTGTCTTTTGGTTTTGTTGACTGTTTCTTTCGCTGTGCAAAAGCTTTTTATCTTCATGAAGTCCCAGTGGTTCATTTTTTGCCCTTCCTTCCCTTCCCTTTGGCGATGTTTCTAGGAAGAAGTTGCTGTGGCTGAGGTCGAAGAGGTCGCTGCCTGTATTCTCCTTTAGGATTTTGATGGACTCCTGTCTCACACTGAGGTCTTTCAACCATTTTGAGTCTATTTTTGTGTGTGGTGTAAGGAAATGGTCCAGTTTCATTCTTCTGCATGTGGCTGTCCAATTTTCCCAACACCATTTGTTGAAGAGACTGTCTTTTTTCCATTGGACATTCTTTCCTGCTTTTGTGAAAGATTAGTTGGCCATAGAGTTGAGGGTCCATTTCGGGGCTCTCTATTCTGATCCACTGATCTATCTGTCTGTTTTGGTGCCAGTACCATACTGTCTTGATGTTGACAGCTTTGTAATAGAGCTGGAAGTACGGAATTGTGATGCTGCCAGCTTTGCTTTTCTTTTTCAACATTCCTCTGGCTATTCGGGGTCTTTTCTGGTTCCATACAAATTTTAGGATTATTTGTTTCACTTCTTTGAAAAAAGTGGATGGTATTTTGATGGGGATGCATTGAATGTGTAGATTGCTCTAGGTAGCATTGACATCTTCACAATATTTGTTCTTCCAATCCATGAGCATGGAACGTTTTTCCATTTCTTTGTGTCTTCCTCAATTTCTTTCATGAGTTTTTTATAGTGTTCTGAGTACAGATTCTTTGCCTCTTTGGTTGGATTAATTCCTAGGTATCTTATGGTTTGGGGTGCAATTGCAAATGGGATTGACTCCTTAATTTCTCTTTCTTCTGTCTTGGTGGTGGTGTATAGGAATGCCACCGATTTCTAGGCATTGATTTTATATCCTGCCACTTTACTGAATTCCTGTATGAGTTCTAGCAGTTTTGGGGTGGAGTCTTTTGGGTTTTCCACATAAAGTATCATATCATCTGCAAAGAGTGAGAGTTTGACTTCTTTGCCGATTTGGATGCCTTTTATTTCTTTTTGTTGTCTGATTGCTGTGGCAAGGACTTCTAATACTATGTTGAATAGCAGTGGTGATAACGGACATCACTGCTGCGTTCCTGACCTTAGGGGGAAAGCTCTCAGTTTCTCCCCATCGAGAATGGTATTTGCTGTAGGTTTTTCATAGATGGCTTTTATAATATTGAGGTATGTACCTTCTATCCCCATACTCTGAAGAGTTTTGATCAAGAAAGGATGCTGTACTTTGTCAAATGCTTTTTCTGCATCTATTGAGAGGATCATACGATTCTTGTTCTTTCCTTTGTTAACGTATTGTATCACGTTGATTGATTTGCAGGTGTTGAACCAACCTTGCCGCCCAGAGATAAATCCCACTTGGTGTGGTGAATAAACATTTTAATGTACTGTTGGATCCTATTGGCTAGTATTTTGGTGAGAATTTTTGCATCCATGTTCGTCAGGGATATTGGTCTGTAATTCTCCTTTTTAATGGGGTCTTTGTCTGGTTTGGGGGTCAAGGTAATGGTGGCCTCATAAAACGAGTTTGGAAGTTTTTCTTCCATTTCTATTTTTTGAAACAGTTTCAGAAGAACAGGTACTAATTCTTCTTGAAATGTTTGGTAGAATTCCCCTGGGAAGCCATCTGACCCTGGACTCTAGTTTGTTGGGAGATTTTTGATGACTGCTTCAATTTCCTTAGTGGTTATAGGTCTGTTCAGGTTTTCTATTTCTTCCTGGTTCAGTTTTGGTAGTTGATACATCTCTAAGAATGCATCCATTTCTTCCAGGTTATCTAATTTGCTGGCATATAGTTGCTCATAATATGTTCTTATAATTGTTTGCATGTCCTTCGTGTTGGTTGCAATCTCTCTTCTTTCATTCATGATTTTATTTATTTAGGTCATTTCCCTTTTCTTTTTGATAAGTCTGGCCAGAAGTTTATCAATTTTGGTAATTCTTTCAAAGAACCAGCTCCTAGTTTCATTGATCTGTTCTACTGTTCTTTTGGTTTCTATTTCATTGATTTCTGCTCTGATCTTTATTATTTCTCTTCTCCTGCTGGGTTTAGGCTTTATTTGCTATTCTTTCTCCAGCTTCTTTAGGTGTAGGGTTAAGTTGTGTATTTGAGACCTTTCTTGTTTCTTGAGAAAGGCTTGTATTGCTATATACTTTCCTCTTAGGACTTCCTTTGCTGCATCCCAAAGATTTTGAACATTTGTGTTTTCATTTTCATTGGTTTCCATGAATTTTTTTAATTCTTCTTTAATTTCCTGGTTGACCCATTCATTCTTTAGTAGGATGCTCTTTAGCCTCTATGTAATTGAGTTCTTTCCAACTTTCCTCTTGTGATTGAGTTCTAGTTTCAAAGCATTATGGTCTGAAAATATGCAGGGAATAATCCCAATCTTTTGGTACTGGTTGAGACCTGATATGTGACCTGGGATGTGATCAATTCTAGAGAATGTTCCATGGGCACTAGAGAAGAATGTGTATTCCGTTGCTTTGGGATGGAATGTTCTGAATATATCTTTGAAGTCCATTTGGTCCAGTGTATCATTTAAAGTCTTTATTTCCTTGTTGATCTTTTGCTTAGATGATCTGTCCATTTCAGTGAGAGGGGTGTTGAAGTCCCCCACTATTATTATATTGATGTCAATGTGTTTCTTTGCTTTTGTTATTAATTGCCTTATATAATTGGCTGCTCCCATGTTAGGGGTATAGATATTTACAATTGTCAGATCTTCTTGTTGGATAGACCCTTTAAGTAGGATATAGTGTCCTTCCTCATCTCTTATTATAGTCTTTGGTTTAAAATTAATTTGTCTGATATAAGGATTGCCACCCCAGCTTTCTTTTGGTGTCCATTAGCATGGTAAATTGTTTCCCACCCCTTCACTTTCAATCTGGGGGTGTCTTTGGGTCTAAAATGAGTCTCATGCAGACAGCATATTGATGGGTCTTGTTTTTTAATCCAATCTGATAGCCTGTGTCTTTTGATTCAGGCATTTAGCCCATTTACATTCAGGGCAACTAATGAAAGGTATGAATTTAGTGCCACTGTATTGCCTGTAAGGTGACTGTTACTGTATATTGTCTCTGTTCCTTTCTGGTCTATGTTGCTTTTAGGCTCTCTCTTTGCTTAGAAGACTCCTTTCAAGATTTCTTGTAGGGCTGGTTTTGTGTTTGCCAATTCCTTTAGTTTTTGGAAGCTTTTTATCTCTCCTTCTATTTTCAATGACAGCCTAGCTGGATATAGTATTCTTGGCTGCATATTTTTCTCATTTAGTGCTCTGAAGATACCATGCCAGTCCTTTCTGGCCGGCCAGGTCTCTGTGGATAGGTCTGTTGCCAATCTATTGCTTCTACCATTGTAGGTTACATATCTCTTGTAACCTCCATCAATTTGGAGATAATACCCAAGGCTGTACCAGTGCAGGTCCTCACTTTAATCCTCTATCCAAAAAACACGGTGGGCCAAACGATCAAGAGAGGCATGTTGGAGACCTGGGCAACGTGACTGCTGGCAAGGATGGTGTGGCCACCGTGTCCTTGGAAGATTCTCTGATCGCACTCTCAGGAGACCATTCCATCATTGGCCGCACAATGGTGGTCCACGAGAAACGAGATGACTTGGGCAAAGGTGGCAATGAAGAAAGTACACAGACGGGAAACGCCAGGAGTCGTTTGGCTTGTGGTGTCATTGGGATCGCCAGGTAAATATTCCCTAGGATGTGATCTGAGTCCTAGTAGCTCCTATGTTACCTTGCTAGTTGTAGAAATTTAACTTGATAAACATTAAACACTGTAACCTTAAAAGTGTAATTTGTGTGACTTTTTAATTGCTTTAAGTACCTGTAATGAGAACTGATTGATGATCACTTGGAAGATTTGTATAATTTTATAAAACTCCTATTCAGTTAAAATTGTCTGTTTCAACGATCTCTGTATTTTGCCAGGCTTAATAATCATATATGGGTATTAAACTTAAAATTGTCTGAAAAAAAAAAAATCCTGAAAGTAGCTTTCAGGATTTTCTCTTTATCTCTGAGACTCGTAAGTTTTACTATTAGATGTCGGGGTGTTGACCTATTTTTATTGATTTCGAGAGGGGTTCTCTGTGCCTCCTGGATTTTGATGCCTGTTTCCTTCCCCAAATTAGGGAAGTTCCCTGCTATAATTTGCTCCACTATACCTTCTGCCCCCTCTCATTCTTCTTCTGGGATGCCAATTATTCTAATATTGTTTCATCTTATGGTATCGCTTATCTCTCGAATTCTGCCCTTGTTATCCAGCAGTTGTTTATCTCTCTTTTTCTCAGCTTCTTTATTTTCCGTCATTTTGTCTTCTATATCACTAATTCTCTCTTCTGCCTCATTTATTCTAGCAGGTAGAGCCTCCATTTTTTATTGCACCTCCTTAATAGCCTTTTTGATTTTGACTTGGTTAGATTTTAGTTTTTTTATTTCTCCAGAAAGGGTTTCAATTTCCATGCTTTTTTCAAGCCCAGCTAATATCTTTAAAATCATGATTCTGAACTCTAGGTCCAACATCATACTGATATCCGTATTGAGTAGGTCCCTGGCATTCGGTACTACCTCTTGTTCTTTTTGTTGAGGTGATTTTTTCCATCTTGTCATTTTGTCCAGAGGAGAATAGATGAATGAGAGAACAAAATGCTAACAGGGTAAGAAAGTCCCCAGAAAATATACCCTAAACAAATCAGAACGGACCTGAAGCCAGGTTAAAAGAAAGGGAAAGAAAGAAAAAAGGATAAGAAAAAAAAAGAAAAAGATAAAAACAAACAAAAACCGAACAAAACAAAACAAAACAAAAAAACAGAATATGGTCACATACGATCAGGCTGGTGCATAGATCAGTGCCACACACTAGATTTTGGGTGTATTTTTGTCTGTTAGAAGAAAGTGCCTCCCAAAATTTAAAGAAAGAAAAACTTATATTTTACAAAAATAAGGGTTGATACAATGAAGGGATGGAATATGACTGTAAAGATGAAAATTATAAAAAATTTTATAAAAGGAATTGATAAGTTGTTTGAAGAAAGAAAGAAAAGGATTTAAAAAAAAGAGAGAAAAAAAGAAAGGGAGAGAATGTGATCAGGCAGGAGACTAGAACAAAGCCATACAGTAGAGATTTAGGGTATATTTTGATTTGTTAGAAGAAACTGTATCTCAAAATTTTAAAGAGAGAACTACTTATATATATATGCCAAAAATAAGAGTAACTACTATGAAGGGATAGAATATGACTCTAAAAATGAAAAATAAAAATGTTTAAAAAAGGGATTGATAAGATGGTTGAAAAAAGGAAAAAGAAAAATTAAAAAAAAAATGACAGTTAAAAAGTATTCGAAAGACTAAAGAATCATGGTAAAAAAGCCATGAATTCTATGTGCTGTATTCCCCTAGCGCTGGAGTTCTGCTGTTCTCATTGATCGGTAAACTTGGTCTTGGCTGGCTGTTCTTGCTGATATTCGGGGCGGTGGGGGGGGCTGTTGCCATGGTTCCCGAATGTCTTTGCCGGAGGTGAATTGCCTTGCCCTTGTGGGTCCAGGCTAAGTCATCTGCTCAGGTTTGCTCTCAGGAGCTTTTGTTCCCTGCAAGCTCTCGGTACAGCTTTGGAGGCCGAGAGTGAAAATGGCGGCCTCCCGATCTCCGCCCCAGAGGACCTGAGAACTTGGGGCCCCACTCCTCAGTGAGCCCCCAGAGAAAAGCAGTCAGTCACTCCCGTTTCCCCAGTCTCCAGCCGCACTCCGTGCTCACCTGGCCCATGACCGAGCATTTCTTTCTCTGGCACCCGACTCTGTGTGGAGTCTCCAGACCCAGCAGATCCCTGCGGTGAGCTCCTGTGCTGCTGCTCCCTGGGTGGGGGGGAAGGGGAGTCTCCCCAGATCTGCTGCTTGTTGGGTCCCTGATGGAGGAGCAGTGGCCCGACTGTGCTGCGGATCACAGGTTATGGCAACCCCGAGCTGAGAGTCCACTCCTTGGCTCTGTCTCTGCAGCTGGCTTCCCCGCTCTGATACCTGGGAGCTCTGCCGCACTCAGGCACCCCCGGTCTTCCTGTGACCCCGAGGGTCCTGAGACCACACTGCCCCACGAGGGTTCTACCCCCCAGTTAGCCACTGGAGCGACATCCCTCAGTGGAATAGACTTCTAAAAGTTCCGATTTTGTGCTCCACGGCTCTATCACTTGCCAGAAGTGGCCCACGGAGGCCCCCTCCCCCGCCGTCTATCCTCCCGAATATCGCCTCAGATTCACTTCTCCACGCGTCCTACCTTCCAGAAAGTGGTCGCTTTTCTGTTCAGAGAGTTGTTGCTATTCTTTTCTTCAATCTCCTGTTGAGTTCGTAGGTGTTCAGAATGGTTTGATCCCTATCCAGCTGAATTCCTGAGACCAGATGAAATCCAGGTCTCCTACTCCCCTGCCATCTTGCTCCGCCCCCCCACATACATATACTTTTACAAAAACATTTTGTATTTCAGAGATTCCCTAACAGGATCCCCCCCTTTTTTTCCTGGTAACTGTAAAACATAATTTTGTAAGTCATAATCTTATGGTATTTGCCTTTGAGACCTTCAGAGAAGGGGGGCAAACACATCATTTATTCTTACCATATGTCTGTAAGAAAAACAGGTTGTAGGAATGCAATCCCTCAATTTTCTGTCTTGCTTTGGCAACTGACTTGTGAAGATTTGACTTGAGGCTCAGCATTCCTGATCCCTGCATTTACAAGACTGAAATTATGCTTAAGACAGGACCAATATATATGAAATTTGTAAGAAACCTGACATTGACTCCTCCTTTCTTTCCCATCTTGTTTGCCATCAGATGTTTGCTGCAAAGGAAGTCTAGGCAAGCTTTTAGGAAGGCAGAGTTCTGGGGCACCTGGGTGGCTCCGTTGGTTAAGCATCTGCCTTCAGCTCAGGTCATGATCTCAGGGTCCTGGGCTCCCTGCTCAGTGGGGAGTCTGATTCTCCCTCTCCCTCTTCCCCTGCTTGTGTTCTCTCACATTCTCTCTCTCTCTCTCTCAAATAAATAAAATCTTAAAAAAAAAAAAAAAAGGAAGGCAGAGTTCTGTCCTGCTCTCTGGGCCTGCTACTCACTAAATGCAGTGACTGGAGCCCTCCCACACTTGCCTCAGAGGACCACTTCTTCAGCCACTCTGAGCCCATGTGTGGCTGTGTAGGTGAACAAATCCATGATAATGCCCTGAGTGAAAATTCCTAGGGGCTGTAACTTATTTCCAAGGAAAGGTAGGTTTGATGGTTTTCTGAAGAAAGTGTTACTTTGACAACTCAGAGGACAGACTAAGAAGTAGAGACTTTTCATCATCCAAGCAGGAGGAGAGGTCTTTTTTTTTAGGATTTTATTTATTTGAGAGAATGAGTGAGCAGGAGCAGGGTGAAGGGCAGAGAGAGAAGCAGACTCTCTGCTGAGCAGTGAGCCTGATGAGGGACTTGGTCTGGGACCCCAGTATCATGCCTTGAGTTGAAGGCAGACGCTTAACTGACTGAACTACCCAGGTGCCCTGGAGAGTCTTTTCTGTGGTTCACAGTGGCTCCGCAGGAGACAGATTCAGTCCACATAAATCATAGCATATAGAAACCATCTCCTTCACCTTAGGTTTTTTGAAGATACATGTATGCCTGGCTACTTCTGACATAAAATTTTGGCTGAATTGTATTTGATCATTGTTTTTCCTCTATTAGAGAAACATCAGCTCTGTGGATTCCTTGAAGTATGATTTTTTTAAAGATAGATGATAGATAGATAGATAGATAGATAGGTTTATTATTTATTTATTTATTCATTCATTCATTTGACAGAGAGAGAGCACAAGCAGGGGGAGTGGCAGGCAGAGGGAGAAGCAGGCTCCCTACTGAGCAGGGAGCCAGATGCTGGGCTCCATCCCAGGACTCTAGGATGATGACATGAGCCAAAGCAGATGCTTAACTGATTGAGCCACCCAGGCACCCCTCCTTGAAGTATGATTATAAACCACAAAGCTCTGGTAAGTTTGTAGGCTTTTCCTTCAGTTCCATTTGTCTGATGATTAACACAATCATAACTCATAGTACACTGTGCTGGACACTGAAAATTTTCTGTCATTATTCACATTCCATACCCATCCTTTTTTCTTTTTTAATTAAGAGAACCCTGATTGTATGTGTCTAACTTTAAAAAAATGATATTTCTAAACAATCCTTGAAGCTAATGGTGGATATGTTACAAAATTCTGGCCAGTAATATGTAAGTAGCCATCTATTGGGAATTTCTGGCAAGTTTCACTTTCTTGAGATAGGCATCACCCCTTTATCACTACCTTCTTCTTCCTGAAGTTTATGTAGTATTTTGGAATCATAAACATGAACGCTACATGCTAAGAGTGGGAGTAGGAATCTGGGTCTCTGATAGTATCTTGGCGCCCACCCTGATCTGTATATCATTCAGATTTGTTGCTTGGAAAACACACACACACACACACACACACACACACACACACACACACACACAGTCAAACTCTTGGAGTCAAACCCTTGGAGTTGTTTTTCTGCTCTGTGAAGTCAAATGCAATTCTTTTCCTAGACACTTAGTCAATGCAAGTGAAATGCATGATTCCCCAGACTCTGCACACGCAGGCAATACAAGGTAAAATTTAATTTTTGCCTAATCAATAAAATTGAGGAGGTAACTCTCTTTCCATAATAAGCACATGAATTCCAAGGTACAAGAAAAGTTAAATTTTCAAACTCTCTGTTCCAATCTTCTTTACTAGAATAGATAACATTTAGCTGACTATGAAC